TCTCTCTCTCTCTCTCTCTCTCTCTCTCTCTCTCTCTCTCTCTCTCTCTCTCTCTCTCTCTCTCTCTCTCTCATTGGCATGATATTTCCAGCATTCCGCCAATAATAAAAATAAATATTGTGTGGTGCACGAACGAGACATATTTTCGCATTACATCAAAGTGCATTTTGCTGTTGGAAAACTGAAACTTTTTCGGTGCTGCTGATGTTTTTTTTCGCTCTTCCTTTTGTGCGCTCTTGTGACGCATGGAGAGTGTCTAAAGTGTTTAAGTTCACTTATTTCAGAAGTGCTTAGTGTAGCAGAACTAATGAAAAACCCAACTAAAATCTGTCACAGCGAAATGCATGGCCATCGTTTCGAGGCATTCGTTTCGATTTTTATTTTGCTCATCTTTCGTTTCCCCCATCGAATGTTTTCAATACGTTCAATTTTCTACGATGAAAAAGTGTCCGGTGTTTGTATTTTTTTTTTGTTATTCTGCTTTGAATTTTCTGCCGACTGTTAGTTTTTATCCCGGGTTTCATTGAGAAAAGATGGAATCCAGTCTGTGTAGAAGTGTACAGTAGCCGATATGCCGGTTTGTATTCGACAGAGAGAGAGAGAGAGAGAGAGAGAGAGAGAGAGAGGCAATGCAAATGGTAATTCTGTTTCCACTTGGCACTTTTCCATGTGTGTCAATTCAATAAGTTTCGTTTCATTACAGATGCGATATTGATAACCAAACTGACCGAATTGAACGCTGAAACGGTTCACTTTTGGAAAACCAGAGGCAATTTCCAGCGGTTGTTTTGGCAAGTGCAACCACTCGATCCATGTGCAACCACTATCCCGATATGGCTGTTCGTTTGCTGAATCGATGAGTTTTTACCTGTTATTACATTAAATCGACTGTTCAAGCGAGAAAAAAAGAATCACCTGGTAGAAAGCACATCGGTCGCCGTCAGTGAAATATGCGTCGTTTCATGGTATTTTTCATTGATTCAAGCACAAACCACAAGCACATATTTTTCTGGCCAACAAAAATAAATTCACTTATCTCTTGCGCCTTTTTGCTTCTGCTATACATATATGTACGGTACGATGCTTTATTATTGATTACATCCTTACCTGTAGTGAAAAATGGCCTCACACCATCTGGTCATTTCATCCACAAGATTTGCTGGTAGCTTTTGATGCGGTTCGTCTTTGTTTATATATCGCCTATACACGTGCCCAAATACCAAATCACACACCCACAATTTTAGCATATAATTTGGTGGTGATCACATAGCACGAACGCAATACTTGGTTTCATTTAATCGATGCTATTCATTGAATTGACAGACGGATCACACATCATATGGTATTGGCTTTTGTTTCAATCGTTCGTGTTCACAGAATCGAAAATCCGTCACCACAAAACGAAACAATGAATCCCTTACACACAATTATCGCCTATGAATTAAAGCATCGCACTCACGTCAAACCAACCAAACAGTTTCACATGGATAATTAATCAACAAAAGATACGATGAATTTGAATAAACTTAATGATACACTTTTCGCATCTTTTCATACAATTCCAATTAAACAATTCACCATCTAGGATTCTGTATGCAATTCACTCAATTACACATCAATCAATTCAATTTCGATGAATCAAACCAGGTAAACTTCCGAGAAGGAATTATATTGTAATAACTTGTTGTTGGTAGAAAGACGATGATTTTCTTTACGCTGATTACATTGACTTTTCTTTTTCGCTTCGATTCATTTGTTGGTATCCTGTGCTTTCGATGTGATGGAAAAGATGTAACAGACGGTTCTCACCAACAAACATGCACAACGTTCGATCAAAAACCGACGACTGACTACCATTCACAACATTTTCCTCTTTTCCCAAAATTCCGTTCAAGCGGTCCCGCACACACACAGTCTATCACCAACACGAGCACATTTCCACGTCTATCCAACGAATACATCCAGCGAGAGCGGCAAACATACAAGCGATAACGGGAAGGGGAGCGAACGAGAGAGAGCGAAAATGGCGAGCTGTTTATGCTCATCGCAATTTCCCATTGAATAAATATGTCGTTATAGCAAACACTTACATTTGCACAGCCTAGACTCAAACCAAAGGCTGTTGATTTTATGGATAAACACCACATACATACATGCACACGCATGCATGCATGCATACGGTGAGCCTAGATTCTTTGCGCTCTCTCCAGCATTGACATTGCCGCGGTGTTGTACGCTCTTCGGCTTCATTCAACTCCGGCTGCATAGCTATGCGATAAATGAACAAATGTTGCTTCCGTTTTGATTGAAACCAGAATGAACGATTTGTTTTGACACGTTTTGCATTTGCTAACCTTTCATCGTCCATGCTGTGTTGCGGTGGATAAATGAGATGGAAAATTCATTTGAATAAGAGCATGCGCAATTTTAATGGAAGGGAGGATGACAAATGAATTCCGGGTAAGGAATGAACTTGAAGGGAGGATGTAGAAAGCCGAAGGAAAAGCTTTTTGGAAATGGTTCAAGTATTTGCTACTAAAATTGGCTTTTGAGAATCGAGAAAGTGAACCGAATATTTTAAGTGTTTGGAAATGCAATGAAATACTTTACTTTTACATCACGAGAATTTTAGTTCTCTCCAAATGATGGATAGTACCAAACGTGCTGAACACTTGTTTCTTTAATTGATTTGTGCTTTGAAAAATGGACAAGACAATGATCTGAAATTTCATACTTATTGTCTTTTCCATTTGAAATTTAGAGTGATTTATGTTAGATCAATCAATTCATATGTCTTATGACATTAAGTCATTTGCTTCAACAATAATAAATTTCATTTGTTTATGATAAATTCTTGATGAAATAAAGACCCGGTTGAGCTTTGAATAGTGCTGCTTCATGACCAAAATAAGAGGATTTAGGATTCAAATTGAATCATTCAATTGTAACAAATTTTCAAATATGAATAAACAAGCTTTTTTTGAAGCAAAGCTTTTTTTAATCATAAAAAGGCTCAAAAAGCTTTTCACGAAGAAGGATTTTGTGTAGAAAAGTGTCGTTTTGATACTAGAATTCATAATGATGTGAATAAGTTAACTTGTGTTATTGGACAATAGAATTAGTGAACGCTAGGAGAGCATACGAATTTTGTCGTTATTCGAAAAACATCACAACGTGTAGGTCTAAACGTATAGCTCATTTCTTATTTGATTGAGCTTGACACAGGCGACTGAAGTTATTATTACCGGCACTTCCATCTTATATATTGCCTTTAACTATTTGCAATAGTAAGTCTGCAAATTTTCTGTGTGAATATAACTGAGACCATGTCTATATTAGGTATGCATATATTGATTTGGTTTTTGTGGTCTATATGTTGTGTTATTGCGGCGCAGACAATGAAAATCGAACTGTCACCAAAGAATTCTCCTTATAATGGTGTTTGATCAGAGTTGAATTAAATAAACCTGACCTAATCCGAGATTGATTTTGCTCCTTATGTTTCCCATACCTCACGTATTTTTGGCTCATGCATTTGCACAATGCATTTATGCGAACGAGTGGATTCAATTACTATTCAGTGCAAATTTGAATTTGATTCAGTGTTTGGTGGTTTTTTATCTTTCATTTAGCAGCCAAATGCCCATATTTTCGCTGTATTGCCCACTTCAGATTTAGTTTACTTTCTTTTACTAATCTATATGCTTATTTATATTTATACCAGTCCTGTGAGGTTAAGTGGTTTAAAAGTAATGGCTACAGAAATGTATACGGGTATTGCTACAACAGTGCAACCTTGGAATCTTCTTCGAAAATTATTTTTTAGTTTGAATGTCCATTGGTTCTCCATGTCATTTTGAAATGTCCGTATTTTGTACGAATTTAATTGCATCTAATTCGACAAGGACAATCAACTCAAGTATGTCCTAGATTTGAATCTATTTTCTGTATTCCAATGCTGAGTTTGTTGATAAGAACAACAAAGATTTACAACTAAAATGTATTATTGATATTCATATTTGGTGAATTTGAATCAAATTTAACCAACAAAATCCGAAGTATTCCTACCGAATCTAATATAAATAGTGTGTTTGCAGATTGCAGAAACTTCATCTATCGCATAGCCTATAAATATTGAAACATTTTTGCCACAAAGCAAGAAATGTCAAAGCCACCGTAAATATTTTGCCCGGAGTGTTCATTTTTGCTAGAAACCACATTTATCCGAAAAATTTGAAACTCTCAAAACTTATGTTCGTATCACTCAAAGTACATTGGCACATTTATTCAAGTACATAAATACCACTGTGAACAAAGTGGAAATGTTTAGCATTCTCGGAATGAGAAACGTAATGATATTAAATCATGTTGCCAACAAAAACACTATGTCATACACTCAAAGTGTCATATGATGCTGAAAGTGTACTCAAAATGTGGATATCATATCAGTGAAGCACACACATTGAAAGATGTATGCCAGAAATTATGTGTACTCCTCGGTTGGCGACAACTTGATTCAAACTTCTGACATGCACATTAAAATCAAATGGCGATGAACACATGCATACCAACAGCACGGCAGGCAAACAGTGTCGGTTTAAGAGAGAACCGTTTTTAACAACGATGACACCGTTCACACTTGTTCGTACATATTTTTTAAATTGAGATGATGATGTTCAAATACAGTGGCAGCACAAATTTTTAATCCGAAAAAAAGGTCGTTCCGCAACGTGTGACATCGTTATCGGTCACACATTGTGGGATAGATAGATAGAGAGAGAGAGAGAGAGAGAGAGCATCAAAAATTTACATTTTTGGTTTCAAGCGATGAATATGATATTTATAATGGAACATCAGCAAGCAAATGCATTGGTACAACTTCATTTAAAAAGCGTTACCAACGTTCGTCGCCACACATTGAAATACGAAGAAAAACGAGAGCTCGAAAAAAGAGAAGCTGGAACAGGAAAAAGATGGTCGAACATCAAGCTCGAGGTAAATGAGCGAGATATCATGACTATCGAATGGGACGATACATGAGTGAAACAGTGATTTATGTTACGTACATGTGGCCATAAAACGATTTCACCATTTGCATTTTTACCATCAACATTTTATGGACCGAAGCCACTTCATGTAAGCTTACACAAATAGCCAGCAAATTAAGGTAGTCAGTCGCATAAAAAATTAGCATGCATCTAAATATTAACCATTTTGCTACCACACGGATGGCATTTCGAATGAGATTTAATGGACAAATTGACCCGAATATCAAACACTTTCCGGTTCGGTCCAATGGATACCAGCAATTTCATTACGTCATTGCGAAATTGATTTTCGATTCAATAAGTTTTGCGCTTCAATGTCGTCTATTTACAATTTACATCGACTAACCAAATTACTTGGTAAATGTTGCTCGATATCAAATAGTGTTATAACATGATCGAAGCAGCCGATTTGCGTTTAAAATAGCGACAATATGATTTGCCACTGCATGGAAATTCTAAAATTGCATTTTCGAAAAGTGAGTAAACAAAAACCGATTGCGGATGTACCATCGATTTCATCGTTTGCACGGCAAACAATTTTAGCAGTACCACCACAACCCCATTCGAGTCTTTGACCTGCTTTTTTATAAAGTGGCATCATTTTTCAGTGGTCAAAATTGAAATAGAATTTCGTACAAGGCGAAGAGAAAAATATCATTTTTATATTTCCAGCGAAAAGAAAAAATTGGAAAATGGAATTTGTGAGGCCAGTATGTGAAGAGAATCTAAAAAAAAATTCTATACAAAATGAAAAATATGTGGTGCGAGCAGTGAGTGAGGAAATGGTCTCTACCGGAAGGGAAAAAACAACCATTGAAATTGGAGCAAAAATAAACGTACTAAAATAACAGTAGCTCATATGTCAGCATCATACATGGGTGCCACTGCATTCGCAACATTAAAGAGAATCGCAAAACATGCACAAATATTGCACGGCATCGCGTACCAATTGCACCACCGACGAAAACCTCTGCAAAAGAGAGGAAGAGAGTAAAGGAGAGAAAGAGTGGGAGCGGGAGAGTGTGTGAGAGAGAACGAAAGGAATAAAAACATTAAATAAGTGAACAGAGCCACAAAAGTTTTTCCCCATCCATCCGTTCGTTCGTTGGACGCCATAGTATTTGTTGAAATGGTTGACATATTTTTTTTTTGCCTCAACTCAACAGTCTGTTTGCTGACTACTTTTTGTGCTTTCCATTGAAATGTGGTCATCTTTTTTGGCGGTTTTTTTGGTTGGTTACTTTCTATATTTTTTTGTTCCTGTTTGCAAATGCGGACTTTTGTGTGGAAAATATGTGCATCATTTTCCTGTTGATTTGCCGCACCCCAAACCATTTTTCCTTGGCTCAGTCTCTGTTTTTCTCAACCACTTTTCATGCACACATACCCCGTATGTGTATTGCAACCGATGCGGCTAACATTTAGAATGCAGGCGACAAAAAGAAAATCGAACGGTTCCGTTTCAATTGCGTTGCAAATCGAAAATAATGGATTGGCTACTGGGCGAAGAGCAATTTTGGAATAAATTACAAACAAAAGCAAATATTACAACAAAATGCAGCCAAATAAATTTACACGGGAAAAATAATCGAACGGAATTTACGCTTACCCATCTGAATTGGTGCAACAGCACAGCACAGCGCACATACATTCTTTACACCGGCAGAAAAACAAACAACAACAACAACCCATCCGAATAAAAAGATAAAGTGTCTCTGTCGCAAATAAAATCAAACTATCAGCAAAATGGCAGAAAAACGTAAACTGTGCATTTCCCAATGTGAAAACCCGTAGATACAC